GTTTTAAACAATTATACCACAGTTCATTAAACTGTGGAAAAGAGCAACGTCATCATTATATTGGCAATTTAAAAAAATGAAAAACCGAGTCTCCTCATTCGACGTCTCATTAAAGGAGATCATTCTTGAGGCTGGTACGATATTAATTAAATTGGCAAGCATCTTTCGGCTCTCTTACCGAGTCACACGCCTGTTCGCGGTACTGGGCGGGCGATAAATGAAAAATAAAAGACTGAAGATAATCAAACGGCGAGGGGCATCGTCCATCAGCCGACTGGAACGATTTATCGTTTCATCGATTGGAACTTTTCACGAAATCACCGCATCGCGTGGCATCGCAGCCGAGAGACGAACGATCCAAACCGGAGGCCGTGTAATCGCGATTCGATTCCCCACGTGTGCACAATCGAGCAGCAGCGCGCATTGTCGCGATTGCGACACCGATCTATCGTGGGAATGCGCGGGAAACGTCGGCGCGGCGGCGATTTCTTTTAACCAACGATTCCAGAGATGACAGGCTGACTCACGGTGCACCCGTGATCGTATAGTGAGACTCAAAAGTGAATATCAAGATGGTAACTAAAAATTCAATCAATCAGTGACAGAATTTAAATGAGGCATTTGAAAAATGTTCAGAGCTGCGATTAAACATAATTAACACAAATCGATCATTTGATTATTGCATATAATAATTATTATACATGATTCATAGACACTTTTGAGATAGTGTATACATACACGTTTTCTATGATTCAGCTTGGGAAGGATTCGGCGCAATCGGTTTGCCGCAAATTGGTTCGCCGCTGTTCGATCGCCGGATAATTAAGGACGTCCTTGCTCGTATATATTTATCGTATCGCGCTCCAGATCGATCGCTATAATTCCGTACAGATATTGTAAGAGAGTTTCGATTCTCGCCAAGACGTTACACGACGCTAGATTCGATGCATCGATAAACGATTCGAGCGACCGGAGTGATCGCGTTCAGCTCCTCCGTTCGATGTTTATGCAAATGTGTGTGTTTTTGTGCACAAGAGAGAAACTTAGACGGGTAATACATTCTGTCAATTAAAGATCGTAGGCGCGTTGCACAATGCTCGATTTTACTAAATAGTACGAAGAGACGTTGACTGCGTGGAAGGCTTCTAAAACGAGTCAATCGAGTGGCAGAATTGGATGTAGCATAACTGAACGCGGTTCTACCCTCGGTTCCACCGAAAGGCGAGAAAGAGGGACGAAGGAAGAGAGGTAAAGAGTAGGTGGCACAGAAATCCGTCGCGGCGATGGCGAGGGGGAGGGGGCGTTGGTGGGAGTAATGCAGGAGCAAAAGGCAGAAAACACCGGTAGGCAGTTTTGTAGCTGTTTTTATCAGCTTCTGGGCATCGGGGGTTCAGGCTCGACGATGCCGGGCCGGGACGCATCTTGGGGGGTTCGTGTGGGAACGTACGTCTCTTTAGCGTACCCCCGTTCGCCTCTGCCCGCTCGCCGACGATCCTTTTCATCTTGCTCCGTTCTCGCGCGTTCTCCTTCTCCCGCGCGATGAGTTCGAGCCAGCTCCCCCGCTTGGCCTTCCTTTTTCCTCTGTTCGGCCAGGCCTCGGCGACTTGTTGCTCTCCCGTTCGTCCCAGCCTCCCTCGCGCTCACTCCTCTTCATCGTACTCGGCTGCCTCGGGTACCAAGGGTCATCGGGGTCACCCTCCGCGGTGCACTCGGCTACGTGGTGTGCCCTATATTTACGCACGGTAAGAGCACCCTGAAGAGGAGGTGGTCACTTTTCTCCTTCTTCTTCTTCTCCTCTCGTCCCTCCTTCCTTCGCCTTCTCCTTTCCTTTTGCTTCCTGCAGTTCTCCTCTTACCTTTTTTCTCCACCCTCCGCCTCCCTGCTCGGGTTGCTCTTCAATAAACGCCGATCGCCTTAAGATCGGCTCACAACGATCACTCCCAGCATTGTCAAATTCCAAATCTGTCTATTGTTAAAACTAACACACGAAAGCTCCTTCGCTTTGCCCGTTTTATGTCCGAAATATGAAATGTAGTTCAACGATTGAATCGTGACATGCATTTTTTGACTAGGAAGAATGTTTTATTGCCAAGAGAGAACATCATCAATGGATAATAGGATTGGGATGTTGGCTCGCGCGAGAGACCATTAATGTCACGTTAGCCTTTATTCTTGGCGTTGCATCGGTCACAGCGGTTAACTTTCAAAGGGGCACGGTAAATCACTGATAAATTCAATGTTAACGTAATAACGCTGAGATTAAAGCGTGGCTCGCGCTCTGACACCGAGAATGGCTCATTAGGAGTCCAGTGCTGCGTGCAAATATTAAAGATGACTCATACGTGTATGGACGCGTCACGGTATTCCAACATTTTATGTATCGCCGGCAATATTATTATATTATCCTACGAGATTATTAGATAATTATCCTTAATCACAGAGACGAGCGAGGGAAGATGGGAATATCTGCGACCGAGTGTTTAGCATTGTCCTATAAATCAAGGTGAATGTTAAAAAGCCGACGAGTATTAATTTGTATGATAAACCGTCTGGGCGACGATCTAACGCGTATTCAAAAGGTTGCGACAGCGGGTATTGGGTACCTTCGAAAGGTTACGATACGAATCGCAATGCCATGCCGTGGTGTCGTAACCTTTCGCGAACGGCGTTGTACTCGCGCCGCGCATAAACCAGATAATGGTTACCTGCTGAATTTTAATTACAGCCCGGGACGCATGTCATATCGTTGCGAAAATCAATTACTTTTCTGAAAAAAATATTCATCATCCGAAATGCAACAGTAGAATAAATTCTATACACAGAAATAAATGAAAGATAGAAGTTGAAGAGTTGGTATTATCAAGATTGTAAAACAGGAAATAATCCGAGGATTTATTCACTAATAACATGTACTGTTTAATAT